GCAGGTGAAGCCCAAGTTATTTTGGTCTGTACAGATGTCTTCATGACATTGGGTGATCATTTTTCCTCACGAAAAACCTATCCTAGTTGTACCTTAATTTTCCAGTAAGGAACAACTACTAACTACAGTAAACTTCCGATAATCCGGCACCTTTAGGACCCAGGGGGTGCTGGATTATCAGATATGCATATCTGGGGGGGCTGGGGGCGCGGTGCTGCAGGACCAACCTGGCAACACCCCAGCTGCTCTGCCTCAGGCGTCCCCAAGTCAGCCGCTGCAGAAACTGACCAGCGGCTGACACCGGGAAGCCCGGGACAGAGCAGCTCCAATTGTCCAGCTGCCTGGAGCACTTCCGGGTTCCAGGTGGTGCCGGACTAGCAGGGATGCTGGACAACTGGAGTTTTACTGTACTCTCATAATTTTCCAGGGCTTGATGGGAGGGTTCTGTTCACTAGAAGGCAGAGCACATCATGACCATGGGTGAAGCAAGTCTCAAATCTATGGTGCCTGACAGCTGTCAGAAATCCAACCTGATCCATTTTACCTGCATTCTGAACCATGTGCTGGAAGGGGGATAAGAATTGTATTAATAGTGGTGACAGGTGGTAAAGGAAGAACCTGCTTGTGCAGATTGGCTGGAGAGTAGTGCTGATGGCACTGTGAGTTGAATAGGCAGTGGAAAGGCAGGTGGTCTGCCAGTAGAAATGGAATTATGCGATATTACTCTGTTCAGAAGTTGGAAGAGAGAAAAAGTGGGGTTCTTAATTATTTTGTTTAATGAATGTACATAGCTACCTATAGTCAAAACACCTGGGGCTTTTTAAGCTCTTTAGATGTCAAATGGTCAATATGTGGGTACCTCTAAGTCAGGGCTGGGCAAAAATACAGCCCGAGGGCCAGATCCAGCCTGTGAACCCACAGGATCCAGCTTGGGGATGCAGCGGGGACTCAGGCAGACTCCTTGCTTGCCCCGCCCCCATCCACTCCTCAGAAAAGCAGCTGCTGTGGCCATTTTCTCAGCTGTGAGCCTGTGGGAGGGGGCAGTGGTGCTTCATACCCTCAGCACAATCCCATTAGCCGATTTCTGGCCAACTCCCTCACTTGCCCACCATGGAGTGTCAGACTTCCAGTAGTGACACTGGACATACATTCCATGCTCCAGGGCGAGGGAATCAGAAAAGAAGCAGTGACTGAGACAGGAATTCTCAAAGGTATTTCTTCAAAAAGGCAGTGAGTGAAGCACGACTCCCCCTCCCCTCAGGCTCTTATTCACCAATGCACATGGCTTCGGCAGCACAGGCAGGTAGGATGCCTAGAAAAGGTGCCTGACTGCTAGCTGGGAGTCATCCAGGTAAGTCTCCTGGCCAGAGCCTGCCTATGGCATGCCCACCCCACCCTCTGCCCCTGCAACCCAGACAACCCAAACCTGTCCTCTTCCTGAATCCATACCACTTCCCAGACCCTGCACCCCAATCCCCTGCCCTGGGTCACAACCCAAACCCCTGCACCTCAGTCCAGTGCCCCAGGTCACAACTGCCTCCTTCACCAAAATTCCCAGACCTCACATTCCCTCTTCTACCCCAATCCCTCTGTATCCATCCTCCATCCTAGACTCCGCACCTCCTCCATTAATATTATGGAAGGGTACGGTCCTTGACCACTTTCCAAAATCTTGAAATGACCCCCATCAAAAATTACTGCCCACCTCTGCTCTAAAGAAAGCCCATGACACTGAGAAAGTAATGCTGGCAATTCAGGAGTGGCTCTCTTTCCTCCAAATCTATTTTAAACCAATATCCTCACATTGTGTTTGAGAGCACTGAGCTGTCTTTGGATGAGATTTAGAGCTAGGATTCCTTCTGTTGATGATCTTAAAGGTCTTCTGACACTTCTTGGAAGAGTAGAGTTAGGGACATTAGCCTGGGCAATATTCAGTTTGTGTAATCATGTTTTATATATCTAAAGTTTCTCCGGTAGTTTTAATACAACAGATACAAAGTTCACGTTGGCTATGTCTAGACTACAGGCTTCTTTCAGAAGATCTTCCGAGAAAACTTCTTCCGAAAGAGAGTGTCCACACTGCAAAAGTATATCGAAAAAGTGGTCTGCTTTTTTGAAAAAGAGTGTCGGACAAAACTTGAGGACCGTCCACACTGCAATTGCGTTCTTCCGCAAGAAAATCGAAAGAACAGAGGGGTTTTTCTGGCATTTGTAATCCTCATTCTATGAGGAAGAAGCCTTTTTGCAAAAGAGCTCTTTTGCAAAAAGGCTTCTTCCTCATAGAATGAGGATTACAAATGCCAGAAAAACCCCTCTGTTCTTTCGATTTTCTTGCGGAAGAACGCAATTGCAGTGTGGACGGTCCTCAAGTTTTGTCGGAAAAAAGGCCGTTTTGGTTGTGCTGTGCGGTGCGCTCCTACAATGTTGAGTATTATTGTAAAGATGCCTGTATTTCAGTGGTGGGTGAATTAATCCTATGAACAGAGAGAAGAAGAAAAATCCATATAGAGATTAGAAAGATTTTTTTGGAAAGGAAATTAATGAGATTGAACATGATAAAGAAGTATACAAATAATGAATAGCACACAGAAGGAAAACTAGCCACTTGTATTTATCCTGTCTCATAATATCAGAAGCTCCTATTTTTTCATAACACAACATTGAAATTGAAAGACATCAAATTTAAAATTGAGGTTAAGTGATTAGCATGTATATGGATAACAAATATTGCTAAGAATGTTTAAAAGTTCTTAAGAACTAAAAACTCTCATCTTTCAGGGCATAAGCTAAATAACTTATGGGGTTAAAAAGAAACTTTCCCTATGAGCAGGATATGCCATCCTGCTGCCAGCCTCCTGCATGGGATCCTGCTTAATCGGTTAACTAGTTAAATGTAAGGTTTAACCGGTTAACTGATTAACCGGGATTTTACATCACTAGTAAATAGTTATACAAGACATGCTTGTGGATGGGTTGAGTTCTCAGTTTGCCTTTGACAGAATGTGCAGGCCTTATGCTAGTCTCCAAATTTTTCCCTTTTCTGGGGTTTGGCTTTATTGGCTGCTGAAAAGCAATAACAGACTGTAAACCTCAAACTATGCTTCCTCTTGTAGCTAGACTGTCCCTAAGGTTTTCCTCCAAGATTGTCTTTCTGGTCCATTGTCGCCAACAATCTCTTTCTGCATCCCTAATACCCTGGGTTGTATTAATGAGCTTCAGTCCATCAACAGACTTTTAGCATGTTCATGTAAATTGTAAACCCTACTGTTAGGTTGGGTCAACCAAAGAACCCAGTTAAAATGCCTTTCTCTCACTTGACTCCATCCATCCTTCATGGCTGTGGATATGTGGGTGATTTACACAGACAAGAAAAGGTGTTGAATTAACTGAACAGTGCACTTCTGCTTCAGGAGAAATACTCTTCCAAAGCACAATACATGAAAACTCTATCTTAAAGTGGGGAATAAATTGTTTATGAATTGAGACTTGCACACTAAAGTACTATAACATGCTTTCAGCCAAGTACATCCTCAAATACTTATAATGAATTCACTCTAGTATGTATTTAGATAAGAAAAGTTATTCATTTATATATAAGTACAACTGCTTATATAAAATGGATGACTTACAGTTCTGGTTCTCAGATACTTCCCCGTCATTTAAACGAGATATGTTAGTGTTATTTTGGTGTATATAATATTGAATAGAAGTGATTTGTGGTGATGTGTACTGTAATATATCACAGAGAAAAAAAATTTTATATAATATTTCTATGTATTTAATAAAACATGTGACATGTTGATTCAATGACCATGAGATACTACCATTAAACCATGTGCAATACATTAGCTAGAGAATGTGTTGCCTAGGCCCGAGGACCCTGCAAGAACTCAGGCTGCAGCCTGAACCTGAATGTCTACTCTACAATCAAATAGCCCATTAGCCCATTCAGCTGGCAGGGGCAAGCCCCAGGTGTCTAATTCCAGTAAACATACCCTAAGACAAATAGATGAGAGACCTGGGTTTAATTCCTGGCCTTTCACTCCTTTGTTGGATTGGGATGGTTGTGAAGGCTACAGGTTAAAAGCAATCAAACAGTAATGATTTGTAAAAATAAGATTTCATCTCTTTCTATTGATGCTCTCAGGACACTGTTCATCATACAAACAATTTTAAATATATTTTAATGAAAGACCACCGTAAAGAACTCAAAATGTAGTCATATAAAAAGCATACAAACTGTTGCCTGACATTTTATCCAAGTTTTACACTTGCCAATTTTCTCCAGCAATTTGCGAAAAAATGTTTATTATCCCATGGAAAAAATTTTCTATTTAATATTTGGATATAATTTTCCTTAGTCATCATCCCTCGTAAGTGCATTGCATTTGCATAGCAGAGTTGATGGCAGAATTGAGTTTGTTCTATTTTTTGAGGAAATTTGCTGTTGTCTAACAAATATTAAACAAATTTAATCACATGACTAAACAGCAATATTTTTAAGTTATATAAAAGATGGAGAGATGAGTGTGCATTTTCTTACAATAAATATGGAATTTATATGTATGAACTATGAAAATCTGTATTCATAAAAACATAATATATGAAATATAACATTTGTCTTTATAAATCCGTTTTTTGACCTTTGATACCCATGTATGGGGTGCAAGAAAAGAAGTGCTTGGTTAACATGTTGACTTGGTGTGATGTACAAAAACTGTCTTATGCACCTTTGTTGCATACACAGTTGTAAACTATAGCATTTTTAATTATAAAGAAGTGGTGTAGTTTAAATTGATTGGGATTTTATTGTAGTTAAAAGCTGAAATAGAGGAGCTTTATATTTGAGAATAGTATGGGAGCTTCTGAGCAATTCGACTTTAGCTGTCCTCTTTACTTCAAGATGTAATGTAAATACTGAGTCATTACTTTATCTTTAGAAATAATTATATACCAAATATTGTCAAAACTGATTTTATTATGCATGTGTTTTCTAACAGTTGCAAGAAGCAATCAAGGCTGGCAAAGGTGTGACTTCAGCTATTGACCTATGTCATTACCATGGAAACAGAGCACTGGAGGCCCTGGAGAGCTTCCCTCCCTCTGAGGCCAGATCTGCTTTGGAAAACATGGTTTATGCTGTGACCAGATTTTCATGACATACAATTAAAAAAAAGACAAGTTCTTGTTCTTTTGCAGAAAACAACTAGATGGATAGTGGCTGGGAAAAGGCAAAAAAAAAATCCTGTATTTTTCAAGAACTAAATTTGCTAGTTGCTTCCTCCTCCCTCTTCCCCCATTTACCGCATTGCTACATGAACATGCATTCTTTGGAAATGTTATAAACAAAATTAGGGGAAAAAGGTCAAACAGTTTTCACTTGCCATGCCAGAAGCATACTTGAGGCTGCACCAGTAGAAATAATTAATGAGACTCACTTCTGTGACCTCAGCAAATGGACAGGAAATAAGTCCTTATTGATTGGACATAGCCAGGGATGGCGCCAATGTGGTGGCCTGTGGTTTTCCTGCACTAGAGAGGACAGAGGGGGGCCTGAAGCTGCAGGTGTCAGGAAAAACACTTTCTAAAACTGCCAGAGAGGGGCTGTTTAAGTCAAGAATTAATGTACCAATTTATCAACATGAAGGGCAGTTCAGTAAATTAACACGGAAAAATCCTTTATTTGTCTATATGCAGTTATGTCGCCTCACACTGTTTTTATGTATTCCAAAGTAAAATTACTCTGTGCCTAATGCTTTCAGTATTTGAGAAACTTGCTGAGAATATGTGTCAAGCGTGGTAAGTAGGAGCTTTAAATTATTTAATCAAATATTAATTTGGCTCTGTTAAGAGAATTGATTGCCTGTGTTTTTATACTGTATGTATAAAATACTTTGCCTTGGCTCAGAGAATGAGGTTTTCAACACTTTAAGGGGGAAAAAAGTCTTCCCTCCAAATCAAGCAATTTGTTTCAGAACAATTGTACCCTAAATCATTTCTCAGATTTATGTGACACTTGTTTTCACTTAAGTCAAATAAATGTGAATTTGTAATGTTTAGCATCAATCTTTTGGCAGAAAGGAACGAGGAATAGTCTTCTATTAGCACAGTTTTTTTACTCTTCTAAATAAATTTATAGAACAAGAGAAGTTTTTCTAACCTTCGTTTGTCAGATTTTAAATCCAATTACAGAAAGAATATAAGGTATATCAGAAGTCTGCAATTTGACACTGTCTCTAGTTTGTTCATAGGAGATGATTTTTGTGGTTTGCATGCATGCAATCTGAGAACTTCGTTGACAAGAAGGCTGAGTTTACATAAATGATCTAGATTGAGACTCAGCTACCTTTCTTCCTTCTGTGGTGTAATTACAGCCCAATCTGGAGACAGCTAGCACAGCAAACAGATTTCATTACATCGCTCACTCAAACATTAAGTGGAGTTATTTCTGTTAAATTTTACTGCTCTTCTCAAAAAAAAAAAAAGTAAGGTGTCACAATTTTTTTTATCATGGGCTAGCATGTTGCATTCAGCTGAAAGGAAAATAAAAAGCTACATATATTAAAGCATTGTCAAAATAGATACATATATAATATATGTGCACAGTGTACTTGAGACATTTGTGTTCTTGCTCAGATTTATACAAGTTCAGTTTCAATGCTTTTGACAGTGAGCTGAATTCTTTGAGATTGTTTTCCCTCACTACTCTTATTGAAAGACTATTCCAGAACATTGCTCCTTTGATAATTAGAAACTTTCTTGTAATCTTCAGCCTAAATTTTATTCATGGCCAATTTATATCAACTTGTTCTTGTGCCAACATTGTTCTTTAACAATGACTGCTGTGAATTATCATGCTTTCTGCACTTTTTAGAAATATATATTTCTGTTTCTAACATCTCCTTCTTCTTTATCACATGTGAGCCATGAAGGCTTATCAGTCCCCCATCCCCTTCAAACTCCTTTCCCTGCTCTGTCCACTCATATCCTGAAAGATAAGCATCACCGCATCCTTCACAGTTCTAGTCAACATCACTCCTGAACTGGTTAGAGCAGTGTTTCCCAATTTTATTTGGCCATGGAACCCTTTTCAGAATTTCAAGGAACCCCTAGGTTTGTCAAGGAAAAAAAAAGAGGGAACCCACCAATGCATGAAAATCACATTCGTTCCCCCAAGACCCCACCCCTTTGAGGTCCCATCCTCTCTGTTCTCCTTCTCTCCATCACTTGCTATCCCCAGCACTTATACTCTCTCACTGGGTTGAGACAGGAGGTGTGGGCTCTGGGGTGGGAATGAGGGATTTGGGTGTGGGAAGGGGTGAGAAGTGCAAGCTCTGGGAGGAAATTTGAATGCAGGAGAAGGGGATGCTGGCTCAGGGAGGGGGCTCCAGGCTCGGGAGTATTGGGCTCAGGTGGAAGGTTAGGTTCCAAGCAAGTCACAGGCTTGTGGATGTGGGAGTGCAGGAGTTTGTGTTAGATATGTGAAGGGCTCAGGGCAAGGAGGCTGAGAGTATGACAGGCTCAGGACACAAATTTGTGATGTGTGGATGGTGCAGGAGTGTTGTGGCAGAAGACTGAGGATGTGGGGATGCAGGAGTTTGGGGATATAAGAGGCTCAGATTTGGGGTCAGATGGTACAGGAGTGTTATGATGCTGCAGTGAGATGGGGATTTGGCCCCAATTGGGGGCATGTTGGCCAAGCTTCATTTTTAAATAAAATATTATGTCAAACTGAAAAGGTTTTAGCATTGTCTTTATTTATGAGAAGGGTGGGGAATCTGTTTTGAGTCAAGGGTCACTGACTCACAGAGAAGTCAGTCGGGGCCACACAAGTGAGATGCAACATAACCCCTCCAAAACCTCCACGCCTCACTAATGTGGTCCCAACTTTGCTGGTGTGGGCAGAGGACAGGGTGCTAGTGGGTGCTGGGGCCGAGAAGAGGGTGCTGTGGGGTGGCAGGGTGCTGGGGCAGGATGCTGGGGTCAGGGACATGGTCCTGCTGGGCACTGGGGTGGGTGGCAGGGTGCTGGGGCCAGGGACAAGGTGGTGCTGGGTGCTAAGGTGAATGGCAGGGTGCTGGGGCTGGCGACAGGGTGCTGCTGGGTGCTGGGGATAGTGCTGGTGGGGGCAGGGGACAGGGTACTCATGGGGGTTCTGGACAGGGGACAGGGGCAGCTGGGACCAGTACCTGACAATCCTGCAGCACCTCTGGGTTCCGGGAAAAGTGTGACTGCAGTTCCCCTCCCCAAACAGCTGGCGTGTGCGCTGCCTGAACATCAGGGGCTGTTGCACCCCAGCAACTTACTTCTGCAATGCCGTCTGGGGCGGGGAGGAGGGAGAGTGCAGTGAGTCCCAGGGCAGAGCGCGCTGCCTGCACTGTTGGAGCTGCGCAGCCTCAGGTCTCCTGACATCCCCCTCACCACGCAGAAAGGCCGCAGAACTAAGTTACTGGGTGCCACAGCCCCAGCTGTTCAGGCAGCATGCGCTGGCTCCTTTAGGGAGGGGAAGTGCTTCCCTCCCTGCTCTGGGTCACATGGGGTCATCCCTGTCTGGAACCCCCATAATGTGCCAGCTGAGAGCAACTGTTCACCTCTGCCCCGCCTCTCTATGCTTCTGCGTTGCCAGGGAGAAAAGAGAAACAAGTGTGCTGCTGCTTTAAAAAGCTGGCTAGCCAGCACTCTCTCTTTCAGAGGCGGCGGAGGAGGGCTGGCTCCTCGCAGAACCCCTACTTTCGCTTCGTGGAACCTCAGGCTTCCACGGAGCACCAATTGCAAAACACTAGGTTAGAGTGATCAGTGCAGAGCAACATGCAGCTCTAGTATATTTGGGGTGCTATATTAGAAATAAAAACTGTAAAGCATTACATACACTGTGCTCCCAGACAAAGAGAGATTGAGATAATATCAGAGAACTGTTTAGAATCACCATTTGTTATAAAACTAAAAAATAAAGGGTAAAGTTAGGGACATAAGCCCTTTCCATGTTGTCTGTTTTTCCTAATCTTCAGCATCACTGCAAGCCCAAGCACAGCACCTCATGACAGAAGTAGTTTCTTTCATTTAATACCCCTACATCGCTCATCCTGAATTATACCCTAACTACTATATTGCGGGTGCCACTTTACAGGCACAAAACCACAGCTAAACTACATTCTTGTCTCTCAACAAACTACACTACTTACACAAACTTGTGCCCCTTCCAGAAAATAAACTGGGTATGCCATAGAATGGTTGCATAACCTAGTGCAAGCCAGTATAACTTCAAGGTCTGTTTCCCCACCTCTGTAAAATGGAGACAGCTACTTATTACAAAGCTGTGAAAATTAGTTATTTAATGTTGGGTGGGGGTAAGATAATTGGATGGAAGTTGTTATTCAATTAGCATGTTATTCTTCTAATGGAACCATAAATTGTTACTTCTTTGGAAAGTTTAGGAGAACATTCTTCTCCCCCACTATTCCCATCATGGTTAGGGTTGCCAAGTGTCCGGTTTTGTACTGGACAGTCCAGTATTTGAGCTTTCTGTTCAGGAAACAAATTGAGAAAATATAAATGTCCGGTATTTTCTAAATAAGATGTAATGTAGATTGTGATGTAATGTCAAGCGTGTCCGATATTTTTGTTGAAACCATCTGGCAACCCTAATCATGGTGACTATGGGAGGACAAGGTGTGGACTCCTGCTCCCCAGCTTTGTGAGAAAGATGTTGGAAAGGGGAATCTCCCACTAACTGTAGTTGGGAAGAGGGTCGTCTTTTCTTAATTATTTTCCCTTCAGCTTCACATGAAGGATTTCCAGTGGTTCAGTGCTAATTGGGCCTATTTGTACTGAACGCAGCTTTGATTAACCTGTGCCTAAAGTCAGACATAGGGATTGGAGCATGCGGTACTCCAGTTTTTGTTTATAAATAAAATAAAAGGTTGTCTTTCCCCTTTTAAATTTAACGCAAAAGTTAAATAGGTTAGGATTTTATCTGTGATATTCCCTCCATTTTTTTTTTAATTTCTTTGAGCAGATTGTGTTTTCTTTTCACAGATGCAAAAGGCTGTGGCATATAATTGTGTTGTCAAATAAATTTGGCTAGAAGAAGATTCCTGTGTAAGATCTCGGGTTGCAATTGCTGCTTATCAGCTAGTGAAATGTCAGGTAGTATCTACATTTACCAGGGATCGATGCTGCCACGATCAATGCAATGGGGATTACTCTAGTGGATCTAGTGAAGACTCACTAACTCAACCATAGAGTGTCTCCAATCACGCAGATACCATGGTAAGTCGATGTAAGCTACATTGACTTCAGCTACATAATTCACATAGCTGAAGTATCATAACTTAGGTCAGCTTACCCAGATAGTGTAGACTAGGCCTCAGACAGACCCTTTGAAAGAAATTTGGGGGTACATCATGTTCACTGAGGCCCCCAGGCTTCCCATTTCACTTTATTCACACAGATTTTACATTTGTTTTGGTGACACCTCTGAGCTGAGGGCCCCTTCATTTGACTCTCCTTCTTCAGTCCTGACCTCAGGGAAAAGTAAGATTTTGAGCCCATTGTATTCTCAAAAGCTTTGAGACACTTTATAGTGTGCAATGAAACACAAAGCTAATACCCTTGCAGTCTCTCAGGACTGGTCTACAAGATCAATACAGGGAGATCGATCTAAGCTACGCAACTTCAGCTACATGAATAACCTAGGAGAAGTCGACGTACTTGGATCTACTTATCGCAGCATCTTCACTGCGGTGTGTCAACTGGTGACGCTCTCCTATCAATTCCCCTTGTGCTACTCATTGAGATGGAGTATCAGAGTTGACAAGAGAGTGATTGACAATTGATTTATTGTGTCTATATTAGATGTGATAAATTGACCCCTGCTGGATCAATCACTGCTCCATTGATCTGGCCCGAAGTGAAGACATGCCCTCAGACAACTAGTTCAAAGGAAGAAGTATTTCAAATTGTCTTGGAAGAAGTTAGTTCTGACACAGTCTTTTCACCAGACTCTCACAATATCCTTTTCTAACCCATTCCATAAATTGTATTAATTTGGGGTGGGC